ATAGTACTCCAGCGTCGCGACATGCCGACGTTGGTACGAGTAGGCTAGTCTACAAACGTCGCCTAAAGTAATTGATTTTACCCGGCAGAACGAAAGAAGGAAACTCCGCTTTTCAGTTGTCTTAGGCGATTGTTTTTTGACAAACAATGACCTTTCAGAGGTCAAATTGCTGTCAAGAATATGAATTGGCTGCTTCGCAGCAATAAACTGCAAAACAAAGCGTTTCCTGAATAGCCCAATCCCATATATGACTAGAATTCTTTACTCTCACAAATGATCTGTCCCTGTGGCACCTCTTTCCCCTTTTTACCTCTTTCGGTCTGGGCTCGTCCAATGTTTAATTCCTTTATTGTATTTTAATGTTTATTTGATGTCTTTTCCTTTTTGGTTTTTAAATGTATAGGTTTTTAACAATTTTGCATCACAATTCAGTTATTACTGCTATGAGCAATCTTAAATTACATATTTTTATAATGCTTTTAATGTTTTGATATGTTTTGATATGAGAATAAATGACCAGAATATATATAATAAATGATGCGACAAGAAAAAAAAATAAATAAATTTTAAAATAAATAAAATTATTCCTGCGTCAATATTTCCTAAATTGTTGACACAGGCGGGGAGTGATAATCTAATGAACTTTTCTATGTGCCCTTAAAAAAACAGTTCATGATTTCAAAGGTATAAAAAAAGGTCTCGCCTTTCGTCTACTTGTACAAATTATATTTCATTTTAATACTTAAGTGGATATGATTTAGGTATTTGCATCTCATCGCATACAGCAAATGCTGTAAAATAAGGCCCCATAAACAAAATCATTAGTTGATCACCCTCGCACGCATCACTTTTGTGGAAATCCCAATTTTTTTTTTTTTTTCATTTTTTTTTACATTTTAAACGATCATTTTTTCGTCATTTTTCACTTGAAAAGGCTAGAGATTACTTCACAGGCGATCTTTCTCATGTTGCGCATGCGCACTAAGATAGCTTTTCTACTCTGGCGCGGTCTTTTGTGTGTAAGATGAATGACCCGGAACTTTTTCATCATGCCTCTACTAGGCCTCATTGTAATGCAAATACAGTAAACTAAAGAGGGAAGTACATGTTTTGAAGGGCTGATTCGCAAAAAATATCTGTTATAATTTATGAATTGTTTGATGCTTTCTAATCGGGCGAGGTTGAAGAAGGAGGAGACATGGGAGAAGATTTTACGACGGTACGTATAATTGCTAGCTGTGCTTGTCATGAATCACCCTTGTCAGGCAGGCCTAACTAGTAGGTCTAGGCTAGTGTATTTGAATGGGTCAGTGTAGCGGGCGGTCTAGCTAGGCCCCGTCTACCAAGCCTGGCCTGGAAACGGTCGCACGGGCCTACACATGTTAAAAAAATCAGTTTGGTATAGGCCTAATAAGATTTGTAAATGTTGAGGTATAATTTAAAACTATTTGTCCTTTGAGAAGCAAGACTATCGAAACGTATCAAGCAAGTAGGCCTAGGCTAGCCTGGCTTACCAGCTTAGAGGGGCCTAGATTAGGCCTAGGCCTAACCCAGCAGTCTATCTAGGCCTAGTGCCTAGCCCTATATGTGGGGGGGGGGAGGCTAAGATTGTTTTTGTCATCCAGTCATGACACAGGTTGTTGCAAAATTTGGTCCCACGAAGAAGGTAGACATCCATTCAAGTTCAATATATTATTTTCCTTCATTCTTTCAAAATACATATTGCAAAGCTATGCACTTGCAGTGACAGGAGATGTAAAAAGAGGGTCAATAATTTTATTAATTTTCTATATACTTTACCTTGCCAGATGTATTTATGAATTCTCACTTTTTCATATTTAGAAATTGTACTGTATTTGAGCAAAATGTGTTACTGGACAATAAAAACATGTTTTCTTTGTAAATTTGAGTCTGTTCTTGTGACTTTTTATGTGTTTGTCCTCAACCAAATGCACCAGCGAACGCCGATGGGACAGTTGGGAAAAAAAAAAAAAAAAAAAAAACCTCCCTCCCTCATCAGTTTTTATGCTGGGATAGGGTGATAAACTAACAATTTTTTTTACAGGGCCTAAAAGCTGCTTTACAAGCTTTTTTTGAGCAAAGGTATTTATCATATCGCTAAAGTTCATCTCTTTGGCAAGCTAACCGTTCATGCTTAATACTACTGCCAAATCATTTAGCCTTCCTTGTGTCATGCTCCTAATAAAGTTAAAATGCTAAATGGCTGCTCCATTGAAAAATCAGGCTATTAAATATAAGTTAATGACTTATGTGAATGTTGTTCAAAATATTTTTCCATATCATTATGGACTTTTTTTAAAAAATTGTTTTGTTCTGGGACCTGCCCTGTACCCACTCCCGGCGGTAGTGACAGTTTCTTCTACAGCACTCTTCTCTTGCAGTTACAACTGCCAAAAGATGTTTGGTGGATACACCAGATATCAAGAGACAATAATTAAAAGGGCACATGGAGATGATGAAAATAAAAGGGATGTGAAATGCATAAATGAAGAGGTCAATAATGACCCAATGATCATACATAAGGGGTAAAGTACATTAAGATGGGAACCAGCATTTAAATAGTGATCAAAGTGAGTGATAGCGATGAGAAAAAATTTGGCAGTATGACAATTTCAAGAGGGAGACCAAATGGATGCGATGAGGTCAAGTAGGTAACCTGCAAAAATTAAAGTTATGTATCTGAAAATTACCCTTATTTCAACCTACTTTTTTTTAAAACTTAGTATCTCAGGCCTGATGTTACCATTGTAGCAGTACTACCATCTGTAAATTTGTATATAGGATCTGTGTGTAAATAATACCTTGCATTTTTAACTAATATCCCAACTTCATGGGTTATACACCAAGCTTAGGAAGGTCATTTATTCCCCACAGTTAACAGCCCCTGCTCAGGTAGACCCTCCCCCTACACCTCCCAGAACTACCCGATCCGGTAGACGTGTTCATTTTCCTGACCGTTTCTTACCGTTCAATCTTTAACTTTTTCACTGGTAGGGGGCTCCTGTAGCAGTACTACCATCTGTAAATTTGTATATAGGATCTGTGTGTAAATGCATTTTTAACTAATATCCCAACTTCATGGGTTATACACCAAGCTTAGGAAGGTCATTTACCTTAAGGTCATTTGCCTTAATGCAATTGACCACACATCATTTGGGAATGCTGATGAGTTTCCCAGGTACTAGACAAGGACAGGCAATTACTAATCCTTATTGGTCAGATGGTATGAAAGGTGATGCTATATCACATAAATTTGTACTTTTACAGACACTCCTCAGTTTGTCCTCCCTGAGTACACATTACTTTCGCTTTCTATCAATTTGTATATATCATCAACTTGTTTCTCAATGTTTTTGTAAATACGCTTTTCACTTGGAATAAATTGTACAGTTCTACATATAAATTAGTGTGGTGTATTTTTATCATCTCATCGTACACTTACACTAAACCATCAATATTGATGATAGGCGGTCACAATATTAAATTAATCTATTAGCCATGAAATACTCGCACCTACAGTAGGACTGAAACATAGCCTGAGCCACTTCACAGCCTGTCAACAGTGTAAACTGGGGGAAACTATGCATGGTCAGCTGAGAAGGTTCAGAACGTTAATTGTTGACATTTAAAAAAACGTCTGACAAAAAATCATTTATTTCTTGGAACACTCTACCCTTCATAACCATGATTTCATGAGATGTTCTATCGGGAATGGGAAAATGTTCTCTCCAGCATCTTTGGACAATAGTAACTAAAACATCAGCCAAAATTCAGTTGAATAAGGAATATATATATA